GTCTGGGATGAGGCACACTTCCACAGTTTTAAAGAAAAGACTCGGGGGTAAAGTTGACACCGACAAACATCAAGCTATTTGCATATGGGGGCAAGACACCACTGGTGGTCATCGGTTCATTCAAGGCAGTGCTGACAGCTGGGGATCGGACAGTCGACACTGAGATATATGTGACATCTGAACCATCCGCCTATCCACTACTTTCCGAACAGTCAGCCAAACAGCTCCAATTGCTCCGGTATAATGAGAAGTTCCTAGTAAAGCGAGTGTCTGAGCCCTGCAAGAAAGTTTTGGCAATGACTAGGCGCCAAAAGATAGCTGACATGATTATGGATAACCCCGAGGTGTTCACGGGTAAGATCGGCAAAGCCAAAACGAATGAGGTGTCCCTGATGATCGATGACAGTGTCACACCAGTGGTCCAGAAACAGAGACGGATACCAGTCAATCTCTCAGACCGGGCAGAAAGCAAGATCCAAGACCTCCTGGACCAAGACACCATAGAACGAGTTCCAGATAACCAGCCACGCAGTTGGGTCAGCCCTCTGGTGATTGCTCCCAAACCAGATTCCAACGACATTCGTTTCTGCATCGATATGCGCATGGCCAACAAAGCCATACAACGCCCGTATACGCAGATACCAACAATAGCTGATATTGTAAACAAATTTCAAGGAGCAGAACGCTTCACTAAACTTGACCTCAAAGAAGCATACCACCAGTTTGTCCTCGACGAACAGTCGCGTAACACCACCACTTTCTATGGCCCTGATGGCCTCTACCTCAGTACCGCTACAAAAGGCTCAATTAGGAACCAAATCTGTCCAGGATATCCTCCAGTTGGAGATGCACAAGATGCTGTCCGGTATCCCAAGCCAGGTGAACATAGCGCATGATATCTTGATTGGCGGATCAGTCGAAGAGCATGATGCAGCCCTGCAAAAAGTCCTGTCAGCCTTAACGAGTAATGGTATCACCGTGAATCCTGATAAGTGTGTCTTTGATGTAGAGGAGGTGCGATTCGTCGGGCTGGTGTTCAACAAGCAGGGCATAAAACCCGACCCAAAGAATGTAAAAGAATCTACAAGATGCAAGTCAACCCACAAGTAAAGTGGAGCTGTGCTCCTTCCTCGGGATGGCAGGGTTTAGTGAACGTTTCATTCCGAACTTCGCGAGCATTGTCCACCCTGTGCGGCAACACCTTAAGGAGAACATCTGGGCGTGGGACGAAAAGTGCCAAGAAGCATTCACCAAGTTGCAAGCCTAGTTAAGCGAATTTTCACTACTACACCATTATGTAATCGGACATGACACCGAACTAGTTGTAGACGCCAGAATCACGGGTCTGGGGGCAGTTCTTGTCCAGCGAGCATCGAAGACTGAGGCCTTCCACCCGGTTATGTACAAGTCGCGCTCACTAAAAGAGGTTGAAACCAGATACTCCGCGACCGAGCGAGAGGCACTAGCCGTGCGCTGGGCATGCAGGAAGCTACGAAAGTATTTGCTCGGTGCACCAAAATTCCGCATCGTTACCGACCACCGTCCACTAACCTATATGTTCCACAAGTTATGCGGGGAGCTACCTCCAAGAATCGAGAACTTTGTTATGGACGTGCAAGAGTTTGAGTACGAGATCGTCTACCGTCCGGGGAAGACATGCATCGCTGATTACATGTCACGACATCATGTTGATCGAGCAGGATCAAATCGAGTGTTTGAGATCGAAGCAGCAGCGGAGAGCGTTGTTGAGAGCGGGTACTGCCACGCCCTTAATGAACAAGGAACAGTGACGGTGGAGGATATTAGGGCTGAAGGAGAAAGATGCGAAGTCTACCAGAGACTTGTTAAAGCAATCAAGTCGGGAATAAGCGACAATGACGAGGACCTAAAACCTTACATGGTCCCGGAAATCAAACACGACTTGAATGTGGTCAACGGTGTGGTTTGTCGGGGATCACGTGTTGTCGTCCCTATCGCTCTACAAAAACGTGTTGTCGAATTGAGTCACCGCGCACATCAAGGAATTAGCAAGGCAAAGCATTTTCTACGGACATTCTGCTGGTTCCCTGGGATGGACAAGGCCGTCGAAAACCAGGTACGAGGATGCTTACCGTGCCAAGCTGTCCAACCACCAAATAAGAACCAGCCAGTCAAACCGTCGGAGCTACCAATTGGCCCATGGCAGTATGTGGAAATGGACTTCCAAGGCCCTTACCCCAACGACGAATATATATTCATCATGATTGACCGTTACAGTCGATGGCCGGAGATGGCATGGTTCGGAAATGCATTTAATGCGAACACCACAATCGCAGCCATGGAGAAGATATTCACCAGCAAAGGTGTTCCAGCGGTATGCCAATCGGACAATGGCTCGCCTTTCCAATCAAAGAGATGGAACAGTTTGCCCAAAGCAGTGGATATCGCCATCACCACATTACTCCGGAATGGCCCAGAGCAAACGGAACAGTTGAGCGATTTAATCGGAGTATGAAAGAAGCTATTTAGAAGACTACGACACTTAAGGGGGTTGGACTATTTTGTAGTTGGGGAGAGATGTTATATGTTGTGTTACATTTGTTTATATTACGATCGGACTGTTAACGGGACAAATCACCTTTTGGAGTATGGGATTTATGAAAAAGAAAACAACATTGTTTTGGATACGTACTCGATATATAGAGCAAAAGATAGCTTTGTAAACGGGTTGTTTCAAGTAAATAAAGTATTCAAGAGTTCAGTACAACAGGATGCTAGCGATGAAATGTTTGGAAACAAAGAATCCCTTTTAATTTCATTTTTCAACAGCATTCTGAATAGCCGTTAGTGCTCCTTCTGCGCCCTGCTCGTTTGGTTCTTCAAACCCAAGCAAATAGAGATTTTCTTCCCCTTTTTTATTTACAGTCTTGGCCAACACATATTCGTTGTCTATTTGATTTCTATCAACAGAACCATCAAATCGTAAAGACACTGCCAAGGAATTCTGAAGTACATCTTCTAGTTTTTCCTTTTCTGACAATACAATGGCGCTCAAAAGTTCCTTATGACCGACGGGGTTAACATAATGAAGATGGTTCGGTTGATAGTTAGTGAACTCTGTGTTAATGTCGAATTTTGAACCAATGTTGCTAGCAATGTGGCCATGAAAAAGCGCTAAGTGTTCCACGTTTTGCATCATTGTACACAGTATACATATAATTCCCAACATAATTAGCGAGCTCCTTATTACCGCGAATAAATTGGGAAGCAATGGGTGCACTTGCCTGTAACTCATTGCTGCTTAGTCTCGCTAATTTATCAGCTTTCATTTGAGATGGTTATCAATGTGCGTTTTTCTTGGAATAATTCCATTTTCAGAACAAATGTTAGGCACTCTGCCATTAGGTGCAAATATTTTCACTGTGTTTGGGAATCTGAAACAAACGTCACACCTCACATGGGTTCTGCCAGGACATCGCTGTGTGATTTTTTATTGGATTTGAGTCACTTTTCTTACTACTTTACATTTATCTGATTTATCTAGAGAGTCTGAATTATCGGTTGAGCAAGTTGAATTAGATGCATGTGAATGATGTGATTCATCATGTGCATCACGCTCATCCATGATTGTTCGTCTGAAAAATCATTAGAAGATAACTTATTATATTTTGCCGATGAGCAATTGTGATCTTCTTGACTATCCTCAGTTCCTTCTTTCGAACAAGAAATTTTTCCATTACCAAAGACTGAGAATCAGCAATGTAAATGTAAAAAGACTACTTCACTTCAACACGAGCACTAATAAATAATTTTTCTACACAAATATGTAAGAGTACTGATTATCTCGTCGTTTTTATGAGGAATGAGGACTTTATATAGATTATTTCAATCTCAAACTATGTGCATTAAATGATTAAACTTTAAAATAGCGGTTAATAAGTATAGGTAATAGCATGGTTTCGAGTGCAATTTGGATATAACATGCACGAGTGAGTTTTTCAAAGACCTCAAAATAGCACGAGTCCGAAGGACGAGTGCTATTTGAGGTTTTTGAAAAACTCACGAGTGGATGTTTATCCAAATTTCACGAGAAACCATGCTATTACTTATTAATAATTTACATAAAAATGTTCGAGACAATATTGTAGTTTTAACTTACGCGTTAAGCGAACATTCCACCGGCAAACTTTTCCTGTCTTTGTTATATCACATTATACAACGCTAACAGCTTGAAAATTCCACTCAACTATGTAATTTTTGTTAGTCTTGTTTAAGGTAAATGCTTTTCCATTTAAAAATAAAGATAAAAGCCATATTTTTCCACGCGAAGGCAACTTTTACTTTACTGTAGCGCGGCGCCATGTTTGTTTTGTTTTGAAGCAATCTGTGACCGTTACTTCTTTACTGTGGTCAGCAAACATTGAGACTATGCTATGGTTAGCCGCGTTTGGAAGATTGTTTGCGTAGATAAAAAATAGAAGTGGACCAAGTACACTGCCTTGTGGAACTCCTGATGTCACTGTGAGGAATGATGAAACCACCGCTCGTTGACGCCTTTCATTCAGATAGTCCGAGAACCAAATCAATAATGAACCTGAAACACCATGCTGTTCAAGTTTCAAAAGAACATTGCGATGTGACACTGAATCAAAGGCTTTTGAGAAGTCTAAATAAATCATGTCCGCTTCCTTTCCGGAGTCCAAGGCTTTGCCAACGTCATGGAAAACACCAAGAAGTTGAGTTATACAAGAGCGTCTTTTGCGTAAACCATGTTGAAAATTATTCAGCGACGATTGACCAAACTCATGCAGAAACGTGGATATTTACAACTTGAATGTTCAAGGAGATGGGACAGCAGGGAAATCGGTCGGTAATTGGCGACTTTGTGTATATAGCCTTTTTGTGGAATAGGGACTACATTAGCTTCCTTCCACTCCTGAGGGACTTTACCAAGAGAATGAGACTTGTTGAATAGTGCTGTCATAGACGGAGCAATCTCGTTTGAACACTCTTTTAACAATTTGTCAGATATCTCATCGGGGCTGGTGGCTTTATCAGTACAAAGATTTGATAAAAGATAACTAACTTCTTCTGTTGAAACGCAAATAGACTCAAGATTATCCGAACTATAACTGGTGGAAGAAACACGGGGAGAAATTGGCGTAACCGGAGGAAAAGTGGATGCAAAAAAAATTGTTAAAAGCATCGGCTTTCCATTCAGCGGTGGTGAATTGTTCGTTATTGTGGATTAAGGTGTGATTGTGGTAGTCTTTGCTTTAAAGAATCTCCAGAAATCTTTCGGTTTGTCCTTAGCCGAGCTCTCCAAAGTGGAAATATATTCACGCTTCTTAGTTCATAACATGTTTTTGATGTTACGACGTAACTCGCGAAATCGGTCCCAGAGTGAAGGAGAGTTCGTCGATTTTTCTCTTTTCCTCATCGTTTGTTTTTCCTCATTGTGTAAATAGGGGTATACAAATCTGCCCAAATTTGTAGCAAAATCCGACGACCCAACACTGATGGACTTGTCTAAATTTGGATCCGCTAAAAGCTCTACTATGGAGTCACATTCCAGGATCCGAACTAAATTGCACACAGCAATAGCAGTAATTTTTTTACTGAAGTGTTTTTTTCCTGTATGTAAATATTCATGAATAATTATAATAATTGCAAGCAAAATCCACAATCTGAGCCAAAATGTTAGATAAATCCGCAATCCACTGTATTAATAAGATCCGCAAATCCATGTAAAATATTCATTTCACCAGATCCAAAATCCGAACTATTTTTTTGGCGGAATCCGACGATCCGAAAACCTATTCACATCCCTCTTGATATCGGAAGTGATAGCTTTGTGATCAGATTTTAAACAAATGGAGTCATCATCAGTCACAGAGATATCGTCAATGAGATACTCGTTCGTTGTCAGTATAACTGAATCAAGTTAATTTTTGACCACGAGTTGGTGAATTGGCGAGCTGAAAAAGGCCAGCTTCTTGTAATACATCGGTGAAACCACTGTCAGATGTTATTTCTGTCAGATGTTATTCCTGAACCATTCAGCCAATCGATCGAAGAAAAGTTAAAGTCACCAAGAATAATTATATCTTTGTGTCGAGAGTCGTTAGCATATTTGAGGAATCGAGTATAAATTTATGAAGAAATTCAGATCCAGCATTAGGAGGACGATATAGCATACACATACTAAAACGGTTTTGGATAAAGAGATTATAACAGTTCCAAAGTTGTGGATGTAAATTTAAACGGCTCGGTTTTCATTGAATGATTGAATCTTTAAAACACGAGTAAAACACCACCGCCACGTTTATTTTCTCTATCGCGTCTTGAAATTATGTATCCACATGGTAACAGTTCATGGTTAGAAATGGAGTTGTCAAGCCACATATCTCCGTCAATGCATGTAACATCGAATTGGTTGAGTGAGCTGAAATAATGTCGTGGAAACAAGATAATATATGTGTTCTCCTTAGAGTTACTACACGAGTCCCAATAAGTAGATTTTAAACTTCTGACGTTTTGGTAAAACACACTTAATGGTCGACATAAATTACTTTTGCAGTTCGATTTGCAGGGCCTGGATTCGTTGCGATATCACCACTCAGTAACATATAAAGCAGTAGATGCGAGTTTTTACGGTTTATATTGAATTCTACGAGATGATAACGTTTGGTAGGCATGTAGAACTTTCTTTGTATCACATCTCGGTTCTAGTGAACTTATGGGAACGTTTCCAGGAATTAGTTTTCTTTTGTTTTCTCGAACAAACGAACTATAGACTTTGATTTCAAAGATAGCCAAAAAAGTGCAGATAAATTAAAGTTTCCAGAACGCATCCGAACGCGAGAACACGTCGTGGACATGTGTAGGGTTTTGATTAGTGTACCCACCTCGCCAGATCGCACATTAGGAGACGTTGAAACCCCGGAGAGAACAAAATATATGCCATGGACAACGTCAGGCTTTGGTGCATTTGAACTCGCTAAAATGCCGTATCAATACGGATCCGTTTAAATTCAAACGAACGAGCGGCAAAATACAATTAAGTGCCAGTGAAGCTCAACAAGTAATATAACAGTTATGACTTTAAAAACCTGTACCTAAGAAAATGTGTGCAAAATACGAACACATGCCATGAGCATTCCTGCATGAACGTTATCAATTAGAATTATGGAGAATATCTGCTTGGAAAATTTGCGGTTGTCGCAAGGCAGTCAAGGCGGTATGTAATATACATGTATATATTAAATGCCGTTGTAACAAATTGTGCGTGATACCGAAGAAAACTTAAAGGGTTAAAACTCGCGGGGACAGGGACGACCCACTTAAATTCTAGATCTGTAGACAACAAACCGATAGCTGATTCCAAGTACAGCTGGTTGAGGAGGATGTTTAATTTCACATCATGCTCGACATTTCCCTGCTGGCAGAGGTCTCTGTTTGTGCTGGGAACTCGAAGGAGAAGAGACCCCTGCCTAGATCCGACACTTCCTCAGTCCATGATCGTGGACGAGTCAAACCAGTTTGTAAAACAAGTTCTGAAACCGGTTTATAACCAGTTAAAAAGTGCTACTAGATAAAAAGTAGAAAAAAAGTAGTTAAAGTTAACTATGCTTTAGGGTATAGTTAACTATCCAAAACGTAGTTAAAATGGCGTTTGTATACGAGTGAACAACATTTTTCAATCGCTATCTTCCCTGCATGTGTATGTTTTCTGACAATATAAACTTTTCAAACGCTATCGCTTTGGTGTTTTACGAAAACAGAATACATTTTCCCACAGGACGACTTCTCGAAGAAAAAAGATGGTCCATTACACTAAGAAACAGTGACATATAATTACCAAATATGCTACACCTTGGTTTAACGTAGACATCTCGCGGAAAAACTGCCTTCTTTTATAGTGATTTTTGTGGCGGTTTTTCCTTGTTTTCTTGTTTATTTTTCACTGTTTTGAATAAATTTCACTCCTTTTTGCAAAATACAAGTCCACAATCATGTTAAAAATGTGTGTCACCGGTCGTTAATCACCGCTTACTTTATGTAATTTTGTGTTTAAACGCCCCACGCAAGCCCCATGCACAGTCAACTACGTGATTAGTTAACTATCCAACTAGCTACGTTTTGTGCAACGCAGTTAAGTCATGTAGTTAACCAGGGCGTAGTAAAACACGGGCGGTGAAACGCGCTAATATTTGCCTGATCCACGGGAGACTGGCGCGAGCGTGCGAAATGCGCGGATCAAGCGGGATTTTTAAAGATGAAGCAAAGCAAAAACAACAGGGCAATCAAAAAGTACAATTTGTTAAGGTAAATCTATCCTTAAAATGGAAAAAAATTAACTTGTTTTTAAAATAGAGACTCTTGGCAGTCTTGCAATTAATTACATCGCTGGAGTTGGAAAAGCATTTTTAAACTGTGAAATTATTTGAATGCATAGCGATTTTATCATAAAATATATTTACATTTTGAATTTTTATGTGTTGGTGTTGTGTACTCAGGTGAATAATATGTTTGCGATGTTACTCTGAGTGCATATCCACACCGGGCGAGATTTTTCAAGCTCGCCCGGTGTGGATATGCACTCAGAGTAACATCGCAAACATATTTACATTTTGCAGGCAATGACAAATTATAGTCGAGTTTTTCAGCCACACCGAGTGGAAAAAGACTTAACTTCAACCCTTTAAATTATTTTTACTTAGTTATACTTTCGACCTGAAAAGGTTAGAAAATTTAAATTTAAAGTTTTTTGACCAGGTCACTTTAATTTACAATGACACAACTTGTGACCTTGTTTTGATAAAGTTAGGAAACAATTGTTGATTTAGGAAACATTGTCATTGGAAACATTTTCATTAACATATTCAGACATTCAAATGCAAAATAAAAGTTAGGGAAAATATTCAATTATAAGGAGCAAGCAGAAAATTCCGTTTTTATTATGTTAATGGTTGCTTTATCTCTCTTATCGAACTTACAGTATGCAACTGAAATGTCCAAAAAACTCCAAATTGCATATAATGTTTACGAGGGTACCTATTTATCAAGCCAGGATTCGAGTCAGGACTCGAGCCAGGACTCGAGCTAGGACTCGAGCCAGGACTCGATTCAGGATTCGAGCTAGAAATGACGTCAGGTGATTTTGGTGGATGAAAATTTACCAACAACGTTCTCACTTTTAAGGAACTTTCCTTAGATTTAGACTATACGTTCACCAACAATGCGAAATGTTTAAGGAAATTTAACTGGATCTGAAGAATTGTTTATCGATAACCTAAGGAATGGTTCGCAAATGGGAAGTGAGAGAACTTGTTTACCAAATCAATTTCTCGCCATTTTCCACCAGAGTCGATAAAAGAACTAAAGAACGATAGTTTATATTTGGTATATTTGTACATACAGAGCTGTCAATCTCATCTGACTTTGGCTAACTGTAACGCTTATTAGCGTCGGAAGACAGTGAATGAAATAATAGTCAATACCACTGTTGCTGCTTGTGTTTGACATATCGCACAAATACTATCGATATCCAAAAAAGGGAAATATCCGTAATAGACTAAATTTTGAACTAAACAAGTCTAGACAAAAATTTCATCACAGCTTGAAGGAGCATCACAAAATTAGTAATATTCCAAAGTTTCGTTGCAAAATGTTATAAAATGCGGAAAATACAGCCTTGCGAAATTTGCAATTTTCAGTCATTTTAGATTACAAACGGGAAATTGACACCCCCAAACCCTTCGAGGCTGTCAATTTCCGGTTTGTAATCTAAAATAACTGAAAATTGCAAATTTCGCAAGGCTATATTTTCCGCATTTTACAACATTTTGCAACGAAACTTTGCAATATTACTAATTTTGTAATGCTCTTTCAAGCTGTAATGAAATTTTTGTTGAGATCAAAATTTAGTCTATTACGCAAATGGTCAATTCCGCAGTAATTGTTCCCGAAATGAAAATGTGCTGAAACTTCCACGGCATGGAGTTTATGATATACTTAAAGTAAAATCACACAAAAAAGTCGGGGTCACCGAACTCTTTATTAAGAAGATATGACAATCACAATATACCTCCTTCACCCCAATATGGCGCCATATTGATGCTCATTACGAGTAACAGCAAAATCACAACAGTCCGATATTTATCGACGTTTTTAGCGCGGATTTTGCTTTAGTAAGTAAACCTATCTTGTAATTATTTTTGAAAAAATATTGTGTTTTGAGCAAAATGAAACTACTAACGTGTACAATTCTAATCCACAGATGTCTTTTCCACATTTCTTTAAATATCTTTCTTTGAGAACATGCATTGATAAAGGATTTTTTTTCAAGATCCAGAAATGATTTTTCTTTTAATATCGGATATGAAATGTAAAATGCATTAAAGAAATAAATTATCAGTTAAAAACGGGGGTCACCGATCGTTTTAGGGAATTGTGGCATTAAAACGTGAAATAAAAGTAAATAAATATACTACAGACACAGGAACCCTAGCTACACTTTTGTATGCCTTTTTTGAAAACATTGATTTTAACGTAATTCTTTGCACGAATGTAACCAAAGATGTTTTGAAGTAACATAAAATTGTAATAAAATGATTTTTTTAAACGATACGTATAATGAATGAAATTATAAGTTATAAGATATGCGCAGTAAAAGTGCGCAATGCAAAACTGCGGAATTAAAACAATTGGTATTGCCCATTACCAGCAGGCTCTCGATCTTTACAAAACAGATACTTGTTGCCGCTCATTGCCGCTTAGCATTCGTCGAAGAGTAGGATAATTCTCCCTGCCCTGTTTTCCTGTAATAGTTGCCAATATCACCAAATTGTATTATAGCCAGCGTGGCCGCCTCTTCTAATTAAGGCGGAGAATTCGCCTTAGTAGAGCCGGCCATGCTTGCTAACTGTATTACCAAATATACCCTTTCGATAATTACCTCACACATACTTTTTCGTCTTGGAACCTCGCTATCATTGGTAAATTACGCAAAGTGATCGGCGTAATTATCGAAAGGGTGTATTTGATTTGCTAGTAATAGAACATTTAGCTAGCATGCGTAACGTCTTATGAAATAAAAACATTGGGTAATGGCAATCAGTCCCCGTATTTTCGCATTTTTTTGATCGAGTCCTTGACTCGAGTCCTGACTCGAGTCCTGACTCGAGTCTAGGGGTTTCCACAAGTTGCTCGAAATTCTGATAATAGTTGCTCAAAAAAGGAAGAAAAGTTGCCTAAATGTTGCCCATTTTTCCCAAAAAGTTGCTAGTTTTCAAGGAAGTTGCTCAAAAGTTGCTACTTTAATTGCGCTACCAAGTGCTGCTATTTTAACTTTTGAGCAATTTTGAGCATGAAAAAAAAATTTGAGCATGAAACAATTTTTTAGTAAACATGAAGCATGAAACAATTTTTTAATATATTACTTTTTATATAGATTATAGTTCTATGTAATCGAATACAAAATCCAGCGTAGTGTAAAAACAATTATGATAATGTCAAATGCCAAATTTTGTGTAAATATATAGTTTATTAGATGTTCTTTACACAATTTAAAACGTTACTAAGCTTTTTCCCTCTGAGTAGAATTGTACTTCAACATGATTGACGCTTCGAATGTTTTTTCTAAAGCAGTTTCCTGGCCTTTTGAAAAGATACTGTTCAAAAGGCTAAAGACTCTCTCAGCAGCACCAGAACGTAGTTGATGACGAGCAAAATTTTTCTAACAACAGCTGCCCATTTTGGAAGAGTGCTTGCATTCCTTGCCCACCACTTTACTTTGTCATCTTCCGTTTGTACTTGAACACCATCTGATAGAGCCAGATAATTTGGAAGTTCTTGACCAAGTCCATTAATAATTGCATCATCATCCAAAAATGGAAATTTACGAAGTAGTTCTAAAGACTCTATGGTAGGTTGGAGTCCTTGAACTTGTACTGGACAGCACAACTGCACAAGCGTGCACCTCGAAATGCTCGCATAATATCATAGAACTCAATGTTGACTTTGTTCAAGTAGTATTGGAAGCCAGGTTTGATGCAAGACTTCGCTCTTTCAAGCAGTTGGTTGAAAATAACCTGGTTGCCATTTGCTCTTTCACGTGACAGTGCAGTACAATTGCACTGTTTGAGCCAAAGCCGTCAAGTGCTGGTAAATATCAAAGGACCATCCCCTTCGAGATTGTATGTTGTTGTAACAAAGCTTCGTCCACCATCAATTAGAGCTGCAATTTCAAGCTTTAAATCCGCAACATCTTCAGGACTTAAAGTTTGTTCGTTCACTGCAACCAGGTATATCAATCGTGTTTCGCTCGCTACTCTGGTTTAAAGAAATGATTACAAAGCCCAGTCGAATTGTAATCAAGACCCAACGTTTCGACACTCCAGTATAGTGTCTTCATCAGGGGTGATCTAAAACTGCGATCGTGGCTTCTTAAATACCCAAGGGATGACGTCACCTGCCAAGAAGATGCATATATTCTTCTGGCAAATAGGCGCCGTCATCCCTATTCAAAGCATGGTGACTCATATTTATATGCCACGCTTCTAGGCAAAGTCTTTGACCATAGCGATTGTTTGTGGTAATTACTTTAGAGTTTTCCCACGCAATCTCGTGTTTGGTGTAACATACATGTTCGGCTAAAGCTGATTTTCCCTTGTCTAAAGTTGAAACAGCCTTTTGATGTTCTTTTAGCCGTGTACCAAACTGGCGTTTAGACTGACTCAAATACTCTTTGTCGCAGTCACCGCATGGTATAGAATATATAGCACGAGTCTTCTGATTTTTTTCAACAGGATCTTTTGGCTTTGCGAAAATATGGCCTAAGGTCAAATAGGGTTTTAAGGCAACCTAAATATTACAATTACTTAAGATTCTCTTGATTGGTTCTGTAAAACCTTGAATGTATGGAACTATTGCAAAACCCTTAACAGAGGTGTCACCCTCGGAGTTATTTTGGTTCCTACAAACAGGTGGTCTCAGGCAATCATTAAGAAAACGCTTTGGGTAATTGTTTTCCCCTAAAACATTTAGAACATATTCACGTTCATTAGCTTGAGAATCACTGTTTGACGGCAACGATTCAGCTCTTTGAAGCAAAGTTTTTGCTACGGATCTTTTATGGCTTACTGGGTGATGAGAGTCGTATGACAAGTATTTGTCTGTGTGTGTGGGTTTGCGATAAACATCAGTCTCTAACTTCCCTTCGACAGTTCTGTGTACATTCAAATCTAAAAAAGCTAAATGTCCAGTTATTTCACGTTCTACCGAGAATTGGATGGACGGCTCAATAGAATTTAAATGTTGCAGCAGAATATCGATCTCATTTGTAGAAACCGCAGAGATGACATCATCGACGAAACGTTTCCAAAACGATAGGGACACCGGAACAGAGGCTAAAGCTCTTTGTTCGACATCTTCCATTACTAAATTAGCAATTACTGCCGAAACTGGTGACCCCATCGCTGTTCCAAAAACCTGTTGATAATAACAGTTTCAAGTTTTTTGGCGAAAATTTTGTCCCCTGTGGTGGGAAATACCGAAAACACTGTCAAAAATTCCTGTCATTTTGCAGAATTTGTAAGAGGTAAAACTCTTAAAGCAGATCAAGTGTTGGTATCATTTGATGTCGTTTCCTTGTTTACAAATATCCCAGTTGATCTTGCCATCAAGGTTGCGGCAAAAAGACTAAGACAGGATGCCACTTTGTTACAAAGAACATCCTTGCCTGTAGAAGATATTATTGATCTTCTGTCTTTTTGTCTCAACGCCACATACTTTGTGTTTGAGGGCTGTTATTATCAACAGGTTTTTGGAACAGCGATGGGGTCACCAGTTTCGGCAGTAATTGCTAATTTAGTAATGGAAGATGTCGAACAAAGAGCTTTAGCCTCTGTTCCGGTGTCCCTATCGTTTTGGAAACGTTTCGTCGATGATGTCATCTCTGTGGTTTCTACAAATGAGATCGATATTCTGCTGCAACATTTAAATTCTATTGAGCCGTCCATCCAATTCACGGTAGAACGTGAGATAAATGGACATTTAGCTTTTTTAGATTTGAATGTACACAGAACTGTCGAAGGGAAGTTAGAGACTGATGTTTATCGCAAACCCACACACACAGACAAATACTTGTCATACGACTCTCATCCCCCAGTAAGCCATAAAAGATCCGTAGCAAAAACTTTGCTTCAAAGAGCTGAATCGTTGCCGTCAAACAGTGATTCTCAAGCTAATGAACGTGAATATGTTCTAAATGTTTAAGGGGAAAACAATTACCCAAAGCGTTTTCTTAATGATTGCCTGAGACCACCTGTTTGTAGGAACCAAAATAACTCCGAGGGTGATACCTCTGTTAAGGGTTTTGCAATAGTTCCATACATTCAAGGTGTCACAGAACCAATCAAGAGAATCTTAATAATTGTAATATTAAGGTTGCCTTAAAACCCTATTTGACCTTAGGCCATATTTTCGCAAAGCCAAAAGATCCTGTTGAAAAAAATCAGAAGACTCATGCTATATATTCTATACCATGCGGTGACTGCGATAAAGAGTATTTGGGTCAGTCTAAACGCCAGTTTGGTACACGGCTAAAAAAACATCAAAAGGCTGTTTCAACTTTAGACAAGGGAAAATCAGCTTTAGCCGAACATGTATGTTACACCAAACACGAGATTGCGTGGGAAAACTCTAAAGTAATTACCACAAACAATCGCTATGGTCAAAGACTTTGCCTAGAAGCGTGGCATATAAATATGAGTCATCATGCTTTGAATAGGGATGACGGCGCCTATTTGCCAGAAGAATATATGCATCTTCTTGGCATGTGACGTCATCCCTTGGGTATTTAAGAAGCCACGATCGCAGTTTTAGATCACCCCTGATGAAGACACTAGACTGGAGTGTCGAAACGTTGGGTCTTGATTACAATTCGACTGGGCTTTGTAATCATTTATTTAAACCAGAGTAGCGAGCGAAACATGATCTTCAGGACTGTCGAAAATTTCCAGCTAATGAGCACGTAATGCAGGAGCAAGATCTTCAATTCCTCTGATGAAAGGCTCCACATCCCCAAAATAGTCATGAACTTGATTAACGACTTCCCACTTGCTCCACCACCTTGTTGTTGAAGCGGTACGCATGGCTTTACCAGTTTTAGTCTTCCACGCTAGTCGTACAGCAGGGCTTTGAGAAAACATGCTATTCCAGTGCCTGATAAATGTATCTAAGATTCTGAACTGAAATTTCTTTCCACTATTGTCAATAACATGACTAAAGCAAGTAATACTGAAGAGGTTTGGGAAATAAAACTTGACTTGATTAAGTGCGGCTTCATTTACGCAGCACCGTCTTTCGTTGCACATAATATCAATTCAGGACGAACTGAGTATTCAACAGCTAAGCATTGAATCAAACGTTGAGCTAGTTCTTGGGATTGTAAACTCTTCGCTAGAGTTTCCAGCTTTAACAGTTTCTGCTGAATATTCCATCGAGTGTTAATGTATCGTAGAACAATAGCAAGGACCTCCCCAAGTCTGCTGTTGCCATCAAACATCACAGAGAATTCATCACCATCTCAAATGTCAGTTTTCAGAGTCTCCTTTATCCAACACGAGTGGGATGGTTTCTGAAAGATGAACACTTGAAGTTAAACGGTGCCCATATTTTTCCAGAAATGGCCTCATAACATCAATTTTGGCAATTGGTATTCCTGCTTTCAAACACATTTCCACAAGATCATACCGAAATAAACGCATTTCATTAGGAAGAGTTTCTCCTTTCGGGTGAACTTTCGCAACAATACTTCGCAATACATCAACAATAGACTGCTGTCTAATTTTACTTGCCTCGATGGTTTTCTTTCCCGTTGAATGTTTATTGGTGAGGACATACTTTTTAATCGAACTTTTTTTCTTCTTTGAAATAATCTCTTTGCAAGCATCACAGCGGAGCTTCCCGTTAACAACAGTCAAATGTTCGTTCTTGTATTGCTTAATTCTGTCCCAAGCACTGAGCAGTTTTGGATCTTTCGAGCCCCGTTTACTTCGTTTTTGATTTCCACGGTTTGTTTCAATTTTACGTTTCCTGGAAATGTGAGCTTTCCGAGGAATCCGCAGATCTTCCCCTGCTTGAGCTGCCTCTTCAAGTGGCCTGAAGGCAACGTTTTCATCATCTTCACTTGCACGATCCCCGGCCCCCGCACAATTCGGATTCACTTTCATTTTCTGAAGTTGAACTGCCGGCCATTTTGAATTTTGAGAAACAAAAGTGCAATAACTCCGGTATTAATTCCCCTGTAGCGATTAAATTACCGAGTATTAAATACCGATAAAGAGATATTGAGAGTGACTGGACTTGGAGACGATATTTGCAATGTTTGTTGTAACATTACGGTCGATTTTTGAGCAGATTTAATCATAGTTTAGGTATCGGAGAACGGGGAGCGCTGTATGAATCGATTGAACATTTTGAATATGGGGTATTCATGTATAACTTGCGAGCTTATGGACATACATTTTCCGAAATTTTAGACTTGGGCCATTGCAAAAGCGAAATGATCTGCAATTTAAATTATGTTGAAGCAATTAAACGGGGTTCCGGAAGCCTTGATTTTAGTTCTTTGTTGTTCAAAGCACGTCATAATCCCGTTTGTCTGCTGAACACTAATTTGCAGGTTAATGAACCTGAAAATTAGTGTTCAGCAGACAAACGGGATTATATAAGACAAAGAAATCTAAGGCAAGAGTTTATATTATGCAAATGGCACTGCAACTTTCCAGGTCCTGTTGCTATCTGGGGACATCTCGACAAATCCTGGTCCCGTGAGTGTCAAATGTGATAATCGTATAAAAACTATTCAGAAAAATCAGAAAAGCGTGACTTGTGAGATTTGTTTTGGTCAACAGCATCTAAAATGCACGGAACTTAATACCAAATATTTAACTTCCACTTGGACTTGTCCAAAATGTTTGTTTACTGTACTGCCTTTTAGTAACTGTCCAACTCTAGATATGTCGGATGTTGATGAAAGTTTAAACGCGTCTTATGAGGACATTTCTGAATCTGTTGTAAATATCTTAAAAGAACATCTACGACATCTCAGTTTAATGCATTTAAATACCCAGAGTATGGTGTCCTCCTTCAACGAGTTCCAGGTCTTTTTATCTCAGTATCCGATGGATGTTATCACTATGAGTGAAACGTGGCTCAAGGAAAATCCCGCACTTTTAGAATACGTTTCTTTGTTCGGTTACGGAGCAGTGTTCCGAAACCGTGACAAGATCCGTGGGGGTGATGTAGGAGCATATATTAGCAACTCGGTCAAGTACAAGCGAAGAAAGGACATTGAGAAGCTTCAACCAAATAGAATACGTTTCTTTGTCCGGTTACGGAGCAGTGTTTCGAAACCGTGACAAGATCCGTGGGGGTGATGTAGGAGCATATATTAGCAACTCGGTCAAGTACAAGCGAAGAAAGGACATTGAGAAGCTTCAACCAAATAGAATACGTTTCTTTGTCCGGTTACGGAGCAGTGTTTCGAAACCGTGACAAGATCCGTGGGGGTGATGTAGGAGCATATATTAGCAACTCGGTCAAGTACAAGCGAAGAAAGGACATTGAGAAGCTTCAACCAAATAGAATACGTTTCTTTGTCCGGTTACGGAGCAGTGTTTCGAAACCGTGACAAGATCCGTGGGGGTGATGTAGGAGCATATATTAGCAACTCGGTCAAGTACAAGCGAAGAAAGGACATTGAGAAGCTTCAACCAAATAGAATACGTTTCTTTGTCCGGTTACGGAGCAGTGTTTCGAAACCGTGACAAGATCCGTGGGGGTGATGTAGGAGCATATATTAGCAACTCGGTCAAGTACAAGCGAAGAAAGGACATTGAGAAGCTTCAACCAAATAGAATACGTTTCTTTGTCCGGTTACGGAGCAGTGTTTCGAAACCGTGACAAGATCCGTGGGGGTGATGTAGGAGCATATATTAGCAACTCG